AAAGGATGCAAGCGCAAGACCAATGGAGGCTGTCCAATTTGCAAGCAACTTATTGCGTTATGCTGTTACCATGCCAAGCAGTGCCAGGAGAACAAGTGCTCATTACCATTCTGTCTAAACATCAAATATAAGTTGCGGCAGCAGCAGATCCAGCTGATGCGGCGACGTGTGGCTGCTATCAACAGTGCTACTCAAGGCCGGGCCCGTGGGTAAGCAAAAGATACAGCTGCCTTGAGAGGCTTTAGTAGGGCACAAAAAGGGCTGGACACATTGGCCTTTTTGCTTTGGGTGTTAAAGGAGCTTTTCCCAGAAACAGCTGCAGTACCAAAACAGCCTCCTCCTGCTAACTACCCCTGTCACCCCAAAAAAAAACAGAACCCTATGGACTCTACAGACTACTCCACAACCTTTTCCAGGCAATATGGGCCCAATACTCTCTCACAGTGTGACTGCGACTCTCGAGAGTTCTCAGAAGTCCTGCCAACTGAACATCCAGCCCTGCATCCAATCCCTGCCAGAGCCCTAACAACTGCTTGCCGCCATTATGTCAGAAGATGAAACATCAAGATGGAAGCTCAAGACCAATGGAGACTTTTCAGTCTGCAAGCAGCTTACTGTATTATGCTGTTACTATGCCAAGCGCTGCCAGAAGAATAGGTGCCCAGTGCCGTCCTGTGTTCATATCAAACAGAAGCATTGGCCTTCCCCCCTTGCCCTACCAGTCCTGGCACACTTACCAGCTTCCCTTGACTCTGCAAAGTGCTTCATAACTTTCCCAAGTGGCATGGCCTCGCCATGCTCCTCCATTGTGACTGTTACTTGCCATTCCACGTGGCATCACAACAGCAAGCCAACAAGTTTTCTTCCATGGGCAAGTTTCAGCAACCCTAGAGAAGATACTTACAGTCACAAACTCTGCAGCATCAATGGGACAAATGTGGTTGATGGGACCACCAAGATTGGTCACAGACAGTACTATCAAGCATCCAGCAGACATGAGTTCAGCATCTCATCAAGCAGCAGATGGCTTCAGCAAAACCAACAGTCCGGCCGCCTACTACAGATATTTTCTCAGGCCATCAAATTGTAAACTCCTTCAGCAATTGGGTGCATTCACCTGCCCCTATTCAGCCACCCCACATATGGCCTCAGCATTCTTCTCCCCAAGTCTTTCCACAGACAGATTGGACTGAGACAGCCACCCATTTGCCAGATTCAACTCCCATACTGTCAGTGAGTTATCTGACTTTCAGTGCCTCTAGATATACAGTATTTGTTTTGGGATTAAAAAAAATTTTTTTTTTTTGCTGACTAGGTGGAGCAACTTTGAAATCGCACTACACTTTGTGTTGATTAGTCTGTGGTTTAGTCTCTGGTTTAATGGCAGCAAGATTTCAAAGCCACAGGTCAGTGCGATTTCATGTGTGACTTGCCTGACATCCGTGTGATTTCATGCACAGATGTCTACACAAGTCGCACATAAAATCGAAAAAATACTGCGGCACTGATCTGGGGAAGTAGCACCAATTTGAATGATTCCATTGGCACAAATAGGGTGCGATTTAGAACTCTCTAATCACATGTCATCTCTTTGGTGACCTCATTTGGCACTCTTTTATATATATAAATAATATTATGTATCTTTTACATTTTCAGATTGTGAGCCTCTCTGTAATGGGGATCCCAGTGGACAAGGTGTTTTTTGTTTTTGTGTTTGCTTTCAGTTTTGTTTTGACGCATTTTGTTTGTCTTTATTTTATTTTGTTTTATTTTGCCCCGGTTTTTCCTGTTTTATCCCATTTTGTTGTACTGTTTTGTTGTGCCCCGTTTAATTTAATTTCTTTTTTTTTTGCTGTTGATTTTTGTTCTGTTTGTTTTGTTTTTGTGTCCTTTATTGAGTTCTGGGATGTGACCACGTAGGTTTATATTGGTTGATTTTTTCCCAGCCTGTGTCTCCGGTCATGCAGTAGGCTTTTATTGCTTTCTTTTGTCTCACCCCCTTCTCTCCTTTACTTCTGTTTTTTTGCACTGGATATATGCCAGCGTAATGGGGATCCCAGTGGACAAGGTGTTTTTTGTTTTTGTGTTTGCTTTCAGTTTTGTTTTGACACATGTTGTTTGTCTTTATTTTATTTTGTTTCATTTTGCCCCGGTTTTTTCCTGTTTTATCCCATTTTGTTGTACTCTGTTTTGTTGTGCCCCGTTTAATTTAATTTCTTTTTTTTTTGGCTGTTGATTTTTGTTCAGTTTGTTTTGTTTTTGTGTCCTTTATTGAGTTCTGGGATGTGACCACGTAGGTTTGTATTGGTTGATTTTTTCCCAGCCTGTGTCTCCAGGTCATGCAGTAGGCTTTTATTGCTTTCTTTTATGTCTCACCCCTTCTCTCCTTTACTTCTGTTTTTTTTGCACTGGATATATGCCAGCGTAATGGGGATCCCAGTGGACAAGGTGTTTTTTGTTTTCGTGTCTGCTTTCGGTTTTGTTTTGCCACGTTTGTCTTTATTTTTTCACTTTGTTTTATTTTGCCCGTTTTTTCCTGTTTTATCCCATTTTGTTGTACTCTGTTTTGTCGTGCCCTGTTTAATTTTATTTTTTTATTTTTTTTTTTTTTTTCATTGTTTTTTTTTTTTTTTTTTTTTTTTGGTGCCCTTTATTGAATTCTGGGAATGTGACCATGTAGGTTTGTATTGGTTGATTTTTTGCCCAACCTGTGTCTCCGGGTCATAGAGCAGGCTTTTATTGTTTTCTTTTATGTCTCACCCCTTCCCTCCTTTACTTCTGTTTTTTGCACTCGATAAATGCCAGCCTCTGCAAAGTCACATAGAAAACAAGTGCTTCCTATATGCCCTGTGTTATCGATGGTGAGAAATGGGAGAAGTGTCTCTTTGGTTCCCAGTGGACCGCCCATTTGTGTTTTGGCACTCTTGATTTGTACTGTGTTGACTGCTTCTGGGTGGCTGGAGGGCCACGTGATGACGGCTCTACAATATGCCTTTCTTTTCTGGGTGTCTTGTATAGGGATAAAAATGATCCTTACTATATCCTACATCATAACAATACATTATAACAAAATAACAGTAATAAGAGTGTTCAATTAAGTAATTATATATATGAGTGTCTTAGAGTAAGGTCCATTGCATTAGAAATGGCTATTATTATTATTAGGCGTATAGAGATATATTCAATTTTATTTTAATATATATATATATATTGTATTCAGTTGTTTTTGTGTATTCAGTTACATTTGAGTAATGTGTATTGGTACACTTACATAATGTGTATTGGTCCACTATACATCATGAGTGTTGTAAACTGATAAGCAATGAAGGGTGTAGCATGTGCTAAAGAAACCCTATAAAAATGTGAACTGTAATCAACTTAAACCGAGCATCTGATGGGCAGGGCATGGGTGCTCGCATGCATTACTTGGGGAGCAGTCCTACCAAAAGTATAACTAAAGGTAAAACTTTTTTTTTTTTTTTTTTTTAGTTTTGGATAGATTGGAGAGGGATTATAACACTTGTCAGTTTTTATTGCTGTCTGTGGAGATTTCCCCTTTTCTATTTGCCCTGTTTACCATTATCATTGAAAGTGAAAGTAAAAGAAAATTCCAAATTTTGTGTTGTTCAAGTAATAGAGGGGAAATCTGCCAATAGGAACACTAATTCTGGTGACCTGGGGGTCCCCAAGGAATTACCCTAATTTGCAGGAATTTTCTCTCACTTCCTGTTTGGCTATGGGACAGGAAGTGAAGGGAAATCTCTGCAATGGGACACCGATGGTGAAAATTCTCCGCAATCCGCAGATCCGATCCATCCTGCGGGGATCGTCAGCTTGCTTTAAAACTTTCCTTTTCGTAGAGCTCGTGGAGAAATCAGTTAACCCTGTATAGGTTGCAAGCCCACGATCCCCGCAGGATGGATCGGATCTGCGGATTGGGGAGCATAATGGATCGGACTCTGCTCCATTATGCTTAATCCGCAGACAACTCTACTATGCCCTTCCTTCCATTCCTTCATCTTTCTGAGGCCATGTTGTAAAGTATCTGATTGTAGACCTGTTTGTGTTGTCCATAGCAAAGCCTGTTCCTTTCGAGCTTCTAGCACAATGTGAAAGGACACAACCTTCAGGCATGTTTGGTCCAGGGGCGGACTGACCATTTGGAAACTCGGGCACTGCCCGAGGGCCCGGGATCAGTAGGGGGCCCCATGAGATGTCCCTGGTACCCTTTTTCTTAGGATTTTTTGAGTTTGGGCAAGGACACAGGGGCCCCATGATCCCCTATTGCCCGGGGGCCCCATGAGTTGTCAGTCCGCCCTGGTTTGGTCTCATTAAAGTGTCTAAGCTGAGAAAAACTCTGCCATTTTGTTGTCCATACAAAACAATGGCCGATTGTCTGGCCAAAACAGACTGCGGCCATTCTTCACTCAAACATTCTAAACCAATTATGAGGCAAATGCAACAGATGAGGCCTCCTATCATTGAATTTTCCTCAAATGTGAATATTTTGACTGCTGTCAGCATCAGTCACACTTTTAAGAATGGTTTAATCTGTTTAATTTGTTCTTCTTTTGCTTTTTTGGTTATAGGTTGTGGTAAAAAACGATTGCTGAACCAGTCTCTAAATATACTTTATGCAAATTGTACTGACTTCTGGGCCTTATGCTTTCACTTTTTCATGTCCTATGGTTTGGCGCAGGTTTAAGCGCTTTGGATGTGGTTGAAAAGACACTGTAATATAAATTATATATTTTTGGCACACTTAAAGGAGGTTTCTGTAAAAAATATATTTCCTGTTTCTGATTAAATAAAATATGGTTGTGAAACAAACATTCTTTGTCTGGTTTCATTGTGTACTTTCACGCTGGAGATCTTTTCTTTAAATACAACTCAAGCTTTATTTATGTGGTAACATATTTTAACATGTGTTCGATCAAAGACTATTTAGAGGTGGAAACTGGTAAGCTTTGTGGTGGATGTGACAGATGTCAAAATGGCAGCTATAGGTAGAAGTGTTGAGAGGCTGGCCAGAGTTCATCTACAAAGAAAATAATAAATACAACCAGTGAGTGAAGCTGTGGTAAAAAAACAATGACAGTAATGCGGTGCTAAGCTATGAGGCCTCATGCACATAGATGCACAGTGTCACAAATGTGGGTATTTCAGTGCCTGGGAGGCACAAGTGGTATGCACAGCCAGGCTGAATTACGCTTCAGCTATATGAACGTCTGAGTGGTACATATACAAAAAAAATGCAGAAAGTCTATTTTCAGAAAATATATCCCAGTACATACAGTCAGGTCCATAAATATTGGGACATCAACACAATTCTAACATTTTTGGCTCTATACACCACCACAATGGATTTGAAATGAAATGAACAAGATGTGCTTTAACTGCAGACTGTCAGCTTTAATTTGAGGGTATTTACATCCAAATCAGGTGAACGGTGTAGGAATTACAACAGTTTGCTCAGGGCTGGTTCACACCATAGAAACGCAGTCCAGATGCGTTTCTACATGCGCATTTTTGATGCCTTTCCGGTGCATTTTTGACGTGTTCCGATTCATTTTTTCCCCTCTCTTTTTATTCAATTTAAGTAGGGACACGTGCGTTCCAGTGTGTTTTTGGTGCATTTACAGTGTTCCAGTACAGTTCTATGCAGACAAATGCAGAATGTTCTTTTTTTTCTGCAACCGGAACGCACTGGATGAATCAGAGTGACTTGCGAGCCACAGGTGTGATAATTACTAGAGGATCGCAAACATGAAACACATAACTACAACTGTGTTGGAAATATCTACAAATATATGTTGCGCTCCTAAATAAATAAATAATTTAAATTATTACCATTAAATTAATTCAAATTATGATACAAATAACTAATAAAAGTGTATAAATACCAAAAAATATTTAAATAGATAATTTCAACTAATCAATCTCCTCCAAATAAATATCAAAATAATTCCACATGAAATACTCCTCTAAAAAAATATTTTACCAAGTGCTCATAAATCATCTATTAGTGACATGAGGTACTTATGAATATAAATGAAATTGAGGGTATTAGTAAGTACATCATGTCACTAATAGATGATTTATGAGCACTTGGTAAAATATTTTTTTAGAGGAGTATTTCATGTGGAATTATTTTGATATTTATTTGGAGGAGATTGATTAGTTGAAATTATCTATTTAAATATTTTTTGGTATTTATACACTTTTATTAGTTATTTGTATCATAATTTGAATTAATTTAATGGTAATAATTTAATTATTATTTATTGAGAAGTATTTGCGGAACGCAACATATAGTTGCGGAATGCACTAGAACTACAAGCACTGATGTGAACTATGACATTGACAACCATATCACCTACTTTCTGTGTGTTTTGAATGCAGAAAAAGCATACTGATACACATGTAGTGTGAACTGGTCCTTTAGCATTGAAATACGCCTATTTATAACAACTGAGCTTTTTTTTTTTGGGTAACATTATGTTATTTTGTGGGGTTAAGTGGTATGCAGTCATGGGTTTAGAATGCTGGCCCCACCAAAATAGGTCTGGACATACCTATGGTGCCCATGTTAAGTTTTAGAGCTGCGTATCGACTGAAGTTGGCTTCCCAGAGTCTAGTCAGCCACCACCTTCCCTGCCACTACTTCACCAACATCTATACCTCACACAAGAGTATATCAAGGATGTAGAAATGTAAGAGAGCAGCTGCACAGACTCCAGGGAAGTTATATAACTAGGTTAAAAAACAGTCCATTGACCAAAAACCAAAAAGACCAAACTAAAGAACCTGCATCTTTAAAACCCAAACACCACAGCTGATCCAGAGGAAGCAAAAGACTTTGATAAAACTGGATTTGCCCTACCATAGAAGAAATTCCTTCCTTATCCCCTAATGGTCTCCAAAGGCCAGATGCGGCTCTTTGCTTGCTTTTATCTGACCCTCGGAGCACTATTCCTCTCACTGACACCAATGATGGGGCACTATTCCTCTCACTGACACCAATGATAGGGGACTATTCCTCTCACTAACACCAATGATGGGGCACTATTCCTCCCACTGACACCAATGATAGGGGACTATTCCTCTCACTAACACCAATGATGGGGCACTATTCCTCTCACTAACACCAATGATGGGGCACTATTCCTCTCACTGACGCCAATGATAGGGGACTATTCCTCCCACTGACACCAATGATAGGGGACTATTCCTCTCACTAACACCAATGATGGGGCACTATTCCTCTCACTGACGCCAATGATGGGGCACTATTCCTCCCACTGACATCAATGATTGGACACTATTCTTCCCACTGATACAAAAGATGGGAACTGTTCTTCCCACTGACACCAATGATGGGGCACTATTCCTTCCTGCAGAACGAAATGAAAACGAGAGCTCTGATGAAGAAGGGACACCCTTCGAAATGTGTCAGCTGTACTGCATATCCATCCCCTTGATGGGATTTGTGCTGTCTTCAAGTCCCTTTGAGGACTTACATGCCTGATTTTATTCGCTGTTTGTGAGTATATTTTTATAATTAATACATTTTGGTTATTGAGGTAATGCGCAAGGTTGGTGCGCTTCTTGTTTTCATTTTGTTCTGCAGTATTGGTCGGGCTTCCCCAGCCTTGTTTGGAGCCGCACATCCCTACATGCATTGGTGGTCGATTTTTCCAGGTCTGGTTCCATCCATTCACCACCTGTCTGGGTCCTAGAGCGCAGGAGAATTCGTTTTTGATGCACTATTCCTTCCACTGACACCAATGGTGGGTCACTACGCTTCCCATAGACACTAATGATGGTGCACTATTCTTCCCACTGACACCAACAATAGGGCTTTATTGTTCCCATTAATTAAAATGATGGGGCATTTTTTTACTCCCATCGATGCAGGGGCATTTAATCTACTCTGGCCATGGTCCGGCTCCCTCAAAACCTGAAGGACAGTAAACTGGCCCTTTGTTTAGAAAGCCCCTGACCTAAGGTAATTGTATACTCCCTGGGTCAACATTCTGCAATGTTATTCTTTATTAATATTAATAGCCTGGTACATTTTGAGAATTTAAAAGCACGCCCAGCCCTTTTTGGAGTTAATTCAGAGTTGGAAATAACGAGCTTCTGTGGAAGACTATTCTACATTTTAACAGCTATTAACCTTTATTTACACTTGTGCAGGGATGACTGCGCAATCACGTTGCGTGTGTCGCATACAGGGCAGCCTATTCATTTCAATGGGTTTCTCTATGCACACCAAAGAAGTACATGCACTTTTTTTTGTACCTTTTTTTTGGCACGGGATTTTGTGTACATACAAGCATGGTGTACTTGTACTTGGGGTACCATTAGGATGAATGACACCAGAGAGCACCTTCTATAAACACACAGCTCTTTTGCACTGTGGGAGACATAATTTTGCAAGTATTCCTGTATTGCACAGATGTGACCAGGGGCCTACTGTTTAGAAGCCTATCCATACAAGTAAACATGCTTGCAGAAGGAGAAAGTCCGAAATCTGAAAATGGGATATAAGAAGAAAAGAGCATCAAACAGGCAGTCAAGTTCAAATTAAACTGTATTGGTCACAAATCCTTTAAACACCAATGCATTTTGGGAGCTCTAAGGGACCCCCTTCATCAGGTATTGACTCATCAAAAAAGTAGATCCAGACTAAGGAGGCCACACCATATGCTGGAGTTCCTCACGTATACTCCAGCTAATTTATTTAATTACTTTTACATCTCCTTCAGCCTGGATTTAACCCCCTTTGATAATTTAAAGCTCAGATGAATTGGGGTCTTTTAGAAACCCCTTAATGTGTTTGCCATTTAACAGATTTAGTGAAGAATACATTTTGATTTAGACTGTGCTCCTCCTCCTATGAGCAAGCATTAAAAACTTTGCAGAGGTTCCAAAGTTGGCTGTAATTCCCATTTCACACGTTAAGGCATATTTTACCTGAAACGCTGGAGACATTCACGGTTCTGTCATACATTGCTAGGAACTCTGCTGGTTTCAGAAACCTGTTAGACTTGATGAGAAAATGGATGATCTCTTCTTGGACACACATTTCAGGTGCCAAACCCTGCAGATCCACTCCAGGACCTTTACTGCCAGGCTGGAACAATTAAAAGTAACTTAAATAACAACAGCACATAAATCCAGTTACATTCCGCTATTGTTAAATCTTTATTATGTACACAATGAAGCCAAAGGTTTGCAGGTGCTTGACCGTTTCGCCTGTATGAGCTTGTTGGACAACCCATTCCAAAGCCATATGTATTGATATGAAGCCTGTTTCCTTTGAGTCTATAACAGCCTTCACTCTTCTGGGAAAGGCTTTGTGAAAGAATTTGATTGTGTCTGTGGAAATGTGTACCCTAGCTAAAATGACATTTGTGAGGTCAGTATTGTTGTTGGTTAAGAAGAGCCGGCTTGCAATCACTGTTCCAAGTGAACCCAAAAGGTGTTCAGTAGGGTTGAGGTCAGGGATCTGTGAAAGACACCCAAATTTTTTCACACTAAACTTTTTACTCTCACCTTGTGACCTGCTACAATGGTACAATGTTGATGTTTGATCAGCAGCAGACTGACTGCAATAGAAAAATGCAGATCTCTACAAGAGCACACAGAAAACAGTTGCTTTCTATGTGCCCAGTTGACCCTACAACTGAGCAGTAAAATGCATTCTGTTTTCTGCAATGCACCAGAGTGCACCTGAGGTCTTAGATCTGTTTCTACACACTGCAGATGAGCATAGAAAGAAATGAAATGAAATGTCAATTTAAAATAAAGTTTTAGAAAGTAACTTAAATAACAACAGCACATAAATCCATTTACATTCCGCTAACTATTGTTAAATCTTTATTATGTACACAATAAAGCCAAAGGTTTGCAGGTGCTTGACCGTTTCGCCTGTATGAGCTTGTTGGACAACCCATTCCAAAGCCATATGTATTGATATGAAGCCTGTTTCCTTTGAGTCTATACCAGCCTTCACTCTTCTGGGAAAGGCTTTGTGAAAGAATTTGATTGTGTCTGTGGAAATGTGTACCCTAGCTAAAATGACATTTGTGAGGTCAGTATTGTTGTTGGTTAAGAAGAGCCGGCTTCCAATCACTATTCCAAGTGAACCCAAAGGTGTTCAGTAGGGTTGAGGTCAGGGATCTGTGAAAGACACCCAAATTTTTTCACACTAAACTTTTTACTCTCACCTCGTGACCTGCTACAATGGTACAATGTTGATGTTTGATCAGCAGCAGACTGACTGCAATAGAAAAATGCAGATATCTACAAGAGCACACAGAAAACAGTTGCTTTCTATGTGCCCAGTTGACACTACAACTGAGCAGTAAAATGCATTCTGTTTTCTGCAATGCACCATAGTGCACCTGAGGTCTTAGATCTGTTTCCACACACTGCAGATGAGCATAGAAATTAATGAAATTAAATGTCAATTTAAAATAAAGTTTTAGAAAAAGGTAAATTATACTGTGCATATTAAAAAAAAAAAAAAACAAGGCCAAAGAGGTTGCATTGTATACTTGGAAAATGTTTCAATAAAAATGCATTGAAAGAAAAAAAAACAAAAACACAAGGCCACACCCTAAAATAAATCGATTTAGAGTGCGGGCCAGTGTGAACTCTGGAATAAAAAACAAACAAACTTTGTAGTGCCCCCGCCACACTGCAAAGGTTAAATGCTCCTTAACTCTGGGGAAAGAGGAATAAGCTCTAATATGTACCTTTTTCCTCAGGCTTCAACCACGGTGTGACCTGCAGCCTCTTCTTCTTCTGTGTTCCTGCTCACGATTTTCACTCAGTTTCACATGTCACGCATAGGGTAGCCTTTCACATGAATAGGTTAACCTATGAGCAATTGTCACTCTTGACGGGAGTCACTTTGGGTGGGGGGCCCATGGAACACAGCTTCCTTTGGAGAGGTAGGGAGACCCCTGTCTCAGCTCCCCATATCCCTATTATGTGTAAGTCACCCTGTGCCTGTTAGGGGTACAGGTGAAATGTTCTAATATTGGGGTGGGGGGTTGTTCATTGTTTAATGCCATGTTGTTGCATCCCATTGTTCTATTGTGTGTCTTGCTTGGGAGCAAACTATTATGGGATGTGTTTGTGTATTGGCTTGGTGGGGGGTGTCTGCTGATGTGTATCTTGTTGCTAGATGTGGTTTGTCCCGCCCTGTGTCATTATGCAGGGAGGGGGGAATTGTTCTCTTGAATGTATATATCTTCTATCTGTGTTAAAATAAAGTAGTCTATTTCCTGATTTATTTCAAGACTGGTGTTTTCTAGTCTCGTATGGTCAGCGGTGGTGCCCGTGGACGGTGTTCGGACAGAGAAGTGGTATTATAACGGAAATACCCAAGTGCAGTCTGGGTTCGTTCCGTTACAGTCACAAACAAGAAGCTTATGCATCTTTTTGTTTTAATTTTTAAATGTGCGTTTGCCATGATTACCACGCAATTCTGTTGGGTGGCAAAAGCGGCATTTGGTGTGTCATTAACAATAAAGGCTCCCAAACGGGCATCATGCATTTAACCATGATTTGGAATCTATTGATAATGACTGCGATTCCAAATCGCCTAATTTGAATGGGGCATTACATCTTATTTCTCTACCATAGACTTAATGACCACTTACCCCCTGCAGTGCAAGGGACAGTCCACCGCAAGGGTATTATTTTACAAAAACAGAGTTCAGCTTCAAGCTTAGTCAAAGTCACTGGACTGAGGATCAAGGATGCCAAATTCAGTAGTAGAAGGAGAAACTTTTTTTTTTTTTTTTTAATCATAGGTTGCTGTATCTTGTGATATGCTAGCAGTTTTATGCTGAATTAATATTTTACTGAACAGTCAACTTTTGAGGGAGAATGAGCAGCATCCACCTACCTGCAGCATTTCAGACAAGAAGATCCCGAGTTTCAACAAAGTTGTGATGCACCTTTCCACCACCTCCTCCTCTGATTGGGTTTGTGTAACATCATCAGGATAATGGGACTGAAGCCTCATTATGTGGAAATACCATTGCTGGAAGAGCCTGCTGGAGATATTGTGGGAGATCACAAGAATCTTGGCATCCTGAAGAAGTGAGCTAAAACATTACAAGTGTCAATGTTAGAGTCTGGTGCTACTTTATTAAAGCCTAACTCCAGACAAACATTTAAGACATGAAGGGGAATCTCTCCAGTGAGGCATCAATAAAAACATGAGAAAGAGTAATAAACTCTTAGCCCTGGTTCCCACAAAAAAGCGGTGCGGGAAACCCATGATCCATATGTGTTTCCTGCACTGCATTCAAAATGCATGGACATTGTGATCTGCAAGCTAAAGCGGGAGTCAGTGCAATGTTAGCAACACCCCAAATGCCTAAACTGGATCGCACGATACAAAAGCACTATGTGATCCGGTTGCGGTGCCTTTTCGAAAGTAGTACATGTATTATATATATATGGGATAGCTAGACACCCCATGACTACGAGCATTCGCTCGAAACGCGTCAGGGTCTACAGCTGTGTGATGCCTATACCGCCGGTACCTCGAGGGGGTCCCGGCGGCAACTTTGAATCTGGTCAGTACTTTCTTTTTTGTTATGTTCACTTGCCTATTTTTGAAATAAACATTCTTGACATATTGCACTACTGGCCTCCTCTGTTTTGTTGAGCTCCTGAGGGAGCTGGCTACATTCACAGAGTGGTCATCTTTAAATGGGAACGCTGAGTGCAAACCGTGAGGCAGTGAGGGATGCGTGACCAGATCTGACCAGACCTGTGTGAAGATTTCTGATGTCCTTGTTATATTACACAAATGCGTAAAAAGGTTGCGTATCTGGTGAGTGCGCAATCTATATCCTAAATTCTCTCACCTCATCCACAAATTGTGTCATTGGACGTCAGAAGATCATTTGAGATCTCGTTTACACTTTCACCTTGGACTTATCTCCGTTTGACATAGTGCTTTTCTCTCACGATATTAGCCACATATTCTAGTGGCATATATATATTATTGCACAGTGTCACTTTATCATATTTATCCATTTATATATATGTGATTTTATATATATGTGATTTTATTTATTGATTTTACTAGCGCTGCACCCTTTTTTATATATAGTACATGTACTACTTTGGTGTGATGCGGTGCAATTTGTGCCCATTCAGAATGAATACGCTCAAGTTGCACTGCACTGAATCGCAGGTGAATTGCATTCCTGTACGATTCATAGACGATTTATAGTGTGAACTTAGGTTTATACCTTGATATATTTTATCCACAAATGTATATATTTTAACCCCTTTATGATCACCTAACATATGTGTAGCAGCAAAAGGGTGGGGGCCCACACACCCAACATATGTGTAGCTGAGCAGCTGATGTTTGTGTGTTGAAGGTGCACTTACTGCGCGCTCCCGATACAGAGACTGAGTTATGAAAGACAGCTCTTGGAGCCTGTTAATCATCAATAGCTGGCGGGACTGGCTCCTGATACTGTGGTTACGGTGACAGCCAATCACACAGCAAGCAGCCTGCTACAGGGGAACCCAAGCAGATGTGCTCCTGAGCCGCAGCTCTGCATGTCCATTCACACACAGAGCCGTGGCTCGGCCATGCTCCCTCCTTCTCTTGATTGGCTCACTGGCTGTGACTGAAATCAGCAGGAGCCAATGGCTCCCACTGCTGCCTCAGCTAATCAGGATAAGGAGTCCCTGGGGAACGGAGGCTCTCATGATATGCATAGAATGCATGAAGATAAAAAACCTTGAACCTATAGAACCACTTTAAAATCGCCAAGGCCAGAAATGCTAGAGGATACTTTTCAAAGCGATTACTCTGCAAAATAAAGCATGCAGATGTGGATAGATGGGTGAGCTTGCTTTGTATATTAAAAATTAATTAAATAGTGTTTTTGATTTGTGGTGCTCAGGTGCAGTGTAGAGTCACTTTAAATATTTGCTGGAGCAAAAGTTTAACAATTATTTCTTATTCAACACTTAAAACAGTTATATTTACAGAATGTCCTGAATCATGTTGGAAAAATCTGAATAAAGCATACTTACTTCACACCATCCTTCTGAATGTGGGCTAAATCTTGAATAATTCCGTACAAGATTTCACTGCTAGACTGTAGAGAAATATACCTAAGTTATGAAAGATCGCAAGAGGGAACATAACCAGAGATGCTTTTAGCATCAAGTGTAAATTTTCCAATGTTAGAAAATTAAAACTGACTTCTGATTAGACAATACGCTTCATCTTGAAGGCCCAGTGGACCTAATTCATACATTTGTCAAGAAAAAAAACCATCTTGTCAAAAGAAATCAATCTGCTTTTCCCTTTCAGAACATCATAGAAACATGAGAATCTAACTGGTATAAAGTATAGGTATAGAGACAAATGTTTCTTGCTTAACCCCTTCACGCCCGCGCCTCCTGGCCCTTTAAGGGGCTTCACGCCGGGAGGCAGGACGGGGTTTAGGGTCATGCGACCGCCGTGATTGGCTGTCATGGCATTCACATGATCGGAATGGTCCCGATCGCAAGGAAAGATCGGGACCTTTCTGTGGGATGCTGACACGTGCTTTGAGCGCGGGTTCTCAGCACGTTTGTTTACAAATTGTATAGAAATATATGACCACATGACATCAAGGCCCAGCCGCCGAGAGCCCGCATATTTGTGTACTTCCGACGTGAAGAGGTTAACTGATTCCCTCTCGTTCTGGAAGGACGTCATAGGGCATCCTCCCATTCTTGGCACGCAACACAGCGATCGGTGGTGAGCTGTGTCCCTCGGACACAGAGCATCACTGATCAGGGTAAACAGCCAATGACGTTGCCTCTTTATTATTATTATTATACAGTATTTATATAGCGCCAAAAAGTTTGCTCAGCGCTGTACATTATAGTGGGAGACAATACATGAGACAATACAGTTACAATACACGAGGGGTTCGAGGGCCCTGCTCCTTTGAGCTTACAATCTAGGAGGGAGGGGATAGTGGTACAGGAGGAAATGGCTGTGGGGGATAGAGTGGTAGGGGGAGTGGAGGAGATTGGTAGTTAGATGAGGGCGGGGTAGGCTTCCCTGAAGAGATGGGTTTTCAGGGTGTGCCTAAAGGTGAGGAGGGTAGGTGACAGTCTGATGGATTGGGGTAGTGAGTTTCCAGAGGATGGGGAAAGACCTTGAGAAGTCCTGGAGTCAGGCATGGGAGGAGGAGATCAGGGAACTAGAGAGTAGGAGGTCTTGTGAGGAGCAAAGAGAACGTGTTGGGTGGTATTTGGATATCAGGTCGGTGAGGTAGTTTGGGGCAGTACTATGAAGAGCTTTGTATGTCAATGTTAGTAGTTTGAATTTTATGCGTTGGCCAATCGGAAGCCAGTGGAGGAAATGACAGAGGGGGGTGGCGGATATGGAGCGGTTGGTAAGGTGGATGAGTCTGGCGGCAGAGTTCAGGATAGACTGAAGCGGGGATAGTCTGTGATGAGGTAGGCCGGTGAGGAGGGAGTTGCAGTAGTCGAGTCGTGAGATAATAAGGGAGAGAATGAGTTGTTTAGCAGTGTTCAGGGTTAGGAACGAACGTATTGGCCATGGGGCTGGAAAGACAGATTGGAGTCTATAGTGACACCTAGAACTTTGGCTTGCGGGGTGGGACTGATGGTGACGTTATTGGTCGTGATGCAGAGGTTGGGGGGGGGGGGGGGGCGCGGCTGGGCTGGGGGAAAACTAGGAGCTCGGTTTTGGAAAGGTTTAATTTGAGGAAGTGGAGTGACATCCAATCCGATATGTCGTTCAGAAGGCTAGTGATTCGGGTGGAGACTGAAGGGGTGAGGTGAGGGGTAGAGAGGTAGATTTGCGTGTCATCGGCGTAGAGGTGGTAGTTGAAGCCGTGGGAGTGTATCAGCTGGCCAAGGGAGGAGGTGTAGATGGAGAAGAGAAGGGGCCCGAGGACAGAGCCTTGGGGGACCCCAACAGAGAGGGGGAGAGAGGGGGAGGTGGTAGCATTATAGGTAACACTGAAGGAGCGCTGGGATAGATAAGAGGAGAGCCAGGAGAGAACGGAGTCTTTGAGGCCAAGAGAGTATAGTTTTTTAAGGAGGAGGGGGTGGTCAACTGTGTCGAAGGCCACGGAGAGGTCGAGGAGTAGGAGCACTGAGTAGTAGCCATTAGCTTTGGCGGTTAGCAGATCATTGGTAAGTTTGAGTAGAGCGGTTTCAGTGGCGTGTAGGGGACGGAAGCCAGACTGTAGGGGATCAAGGAGGTTGTTGTCGTTGAGGTGGGAGCTTAGGCGGTTGTAGACTAAGCGCTCAAGGAGTTTGGATGTAAATGGCAGCAGAGAGATGGGTCTAAGGTTGTTCAGGTCGGTGGGGTCCAGGGAGGGTTTTTTGAGTATGGGAGTGATGTGCGCGTGCTTTAGGGGGGAGGGGAATGTACCAGTAGTGAGGGAGAGATTGAAGATGTGAGTGAGGTAGCGCAGGATGGAGGAGGAGGGTGACTGTAGGAGTTGTGTGGGGACAGGGTCAAGGGGGCAGGTGGTGAGGCAGCCTTTGGAGAAGACCTTAGTGACCTCTTAAGTGGTAGCAAAGTCAAAAGAGTGGAGTGCTGGGGGGGGTTTTAGTGTGCGGGATGTTAGGTGGGGTGGGGGTCTGGGCAGTTGCGAGGTCAGAGAAGGGGAGTGTTGAGGGGGTTATCATGGGAGGGAGGCTAGGTGGGGTGAAAGTCTGAGCAATGGCGATGTCCTTACGGATTGCGTCGATCTTGTTATGGAAGTGGTTGGCAATCTCGTGGGCGGTGAGTGAGGTACTGGGTGGAGGTGGGAGGGGAGAGAGTAGGGAGTTAAAAGTAGAGAAGAGCCGGCGAGGACTGGAGGAGAGGGTATTGATGAGGGTTACAAAGTAGGCTTATTTGGCAGTGTGGAGGGAGGAGGTGTAGGTGAGGAAGGCAGATTTGTATAGGGTGAACGCTTGTTGGGATCTGGTTTTGCGCCATAATCACTCCAGCGCACGACTGCGTCGTTTAAGATTTTTGGTGTGGTCATTCTGCCAGGGTTGAAGCGGTCGGGGGTCTAATGCTTTGTGTGGTTAGGGGTGCTAAGGAGTCTAGAGCGGCTGACAGCGAGTTGTTATAAGCAGTAGTGGCCAGGTCAGGGCAGGACAGTGGAAAGATACTGTCGTAAAGTCGGTCAGCCGCAGAGTGGAGAGGGGCAGGGTTCAGGTTGCGGAGGTTACGGCTGGTGATGGTTTGACGTTTGGGGGGGAGGTGTTTGAGAACGGGGAGACGGAGAACGTATTGAGGTTGTGGTCAGAGACAGGTAAAGGGGTGTTTATGAGGTTGTGGGGGGTGCATAGATGAGAGAAAACAAGGTCCAGGGTGTACAGGTCTTTACTATGTGATCAGCTGTGATCGGCACTTCCTTTCTTCAGCACTGTCACTATCCGAAGAAAGGAAAGCTGATAATTAGCTTTCCAGTAACAAGGGACATTTACATTGATAATCAAAGCACTGATTGTGCGATGCAGGTCTCCTGCAGACCTGTCAGTTTATCTGCTTGTCCGTAGAATATGTACAGACAAGCAGATATACTGACAGGAAGAATCAATGAACTAGGACAGCGCTCACAGTGCCATGGTAGTTCATTGAAAACTACAAGCCGACAGCCGCTAAGGCTTTTGGGACTTGTAGTTTTCTCATTTACAGACGACTGTTAATGAGTGATGTGGCCGGGCGGGCAGGCAGAGCCCTGCTAGACCAAATGTTTTTTAAATTTTGACATCTAGCAGAAGATCCCCTGCTAGCTGTCAAAGTGGGGGAGTGGAGGCTGGTCCATTCCTAACATGTTACACCCTGAATATAGGTGTAACATGTTATGAGAGGTGAACTTATCCTTAAAGTTATCAGACACATAGAAAAAAGAGGTGGACTGACCTGAACCTCACCAAAGCTGAATAATTACCTCAATGATGTGGATGACACAGGTGGGATAGACCAGCAGTAGGCCTGAGATTGATTCTCCTAGGTTGGATTTTAGCAGTTTTTTGAAAAGCTTCTCACAATGATCTGTTTGTGACAAGAATAAATGTCCTTGTGAAATTGAATAGACGCCCCCATACCACCAATGCTATAAGAACACTGACTTCCAAATTTGCATTCTTAATTTTATCCCACAAATGATTTCTCATCACAATATTGAGTTCACATACATAACCATAACATTTGTAGGTGTTTCTATGAAATATGGAGGCATGGAGCAATAGGTGTAATAGAGAGGGATGAGATGCAGCTTACAATAGAAATCTATAAGAGGCATGAAATAGGAAGCATACATTACTGCATGTAATAAAGAAGGATTAGCCACTGCAGGTTAGAGATGGATGAGGCACTATTTCTCATAGAAATCTATGAAGGAATAGAGATGGATGAGGCACTGTTTGTAATAGAGAGGTGTGAACTACTGCATGTAATAAAGAGGGATTAGCCACTGCAGGTTAGAGATGGATGAGGCACTATTTCTCATAGAAATCTATGAAGGAATAGAGATGGATGAGGCACTGTTTGTAATAGAGAGGTGTGAGCTACTGCATGTAATAAAGAGGGATCAGCCACTGCAGGTTAGAGATGGATGAGGCACTATTTCACATAGAAATCTATGAAGGAATAGAGATGGATGAGGCACTGTTTGTAATAGAGAGGTGTGAGCTACTGCATGTAATAAAGAGGGATCAGCCACTGCAGGTTAGAGATGGATGAGGCACTATTTCACATAGAAATCTATGAAGGAATAGAGATGGAAGAGGCACTGTTTGTAATAGAGAGGTGTGAACTACTGCATGTAATAAAGAGGGATTAGCCACTGCAGGTTAGAGATGGATGAGGCACTATTTCTCATAGAAATCTATGAAGGAATAGAGATGGATGAGGTACTGTTTGTAATAGAGAGGTGTGAGCTACTGCATGTAATAAAGAGGGATCAGCCACTGCAGGTTAGAGATGGATGAGGCACTATTTCTCATAGAAATCTATGAAGGAATAGAGATGGATGAGGTACTGTTTGTAATAGAGAGGTGTGAGCTACTGCATGTAATAAAGAGGGATTAGCCACTGCAGGTTAGAGATGGATGAGGCACTATTTCTCATAGAAATAGATGAAGGAATAGGAGTGGATGAGGCACTGTTTGTAATAGAGAGGTGTGAGCTACTGCATGTAATAAAGAAGCTGAGAGGTTTCATGTAACAAAAAGTGCTAAGGTACTTGTAATCCCTATGAAATGTGTTGGCCTTGGACCCTTTGTTTCTTGGGTAATTTTTACAATAAAGCATTGTTGCGCAAATGCCAGGGGCATGAGAAGTGACTGATGTAATTTCTTTAGCCAAAGGAACAAAGTCACAAGATTTTCTGCTGAGAGCAAGATAAAACCTTGTTTATGGAATAAACCGTGTTTATGACATCTAGTAACCTCACATTAGAAGATAAAAACCTGTTTAGGACATCTAAGTTAGAAATCCTTAAGTCTGGAGGAGATGAATAGAGGTTTTGGGGTAGATAAGAAGCAAAAGTGTGACTTTTCAGATAACGAATATGGTGGTTGAACATGACTATTATCCTCACGGAACCCTTCTGCAAGCCCCACCTGTGGTGGATGGCGCCGCCCACTATTGGACCGCTTCCAGAAAAAGGGTTTATAAGGCGGAGGTCCAGGCAAGACCAGTAGAAGCTCCCCTAGTGGCCAAAGGACACTCTGAAGCTGGGATTTTTACCAAGGCTATATGGGCTCATCGACTGGTCCCACCTATGGCTTCTCCGTGATCCCCTAGGCAGTTGGGTTCCGATGGGATTTGTTCCTCACAGCTTCTCTCATTGCTTCGATAATGTACTAATTCTACGCTGTGACGCTGTCAAATGATGTGTTTATTTCATGCTGTAATGCTCACAGTATTATTGGTGTGTGTTATTATGCAGATTGTAATGACTATAAAATATATCCTCCTGTGTGTCGTGTGATAATAAAAGTGGAGGTTTTGACAGTGGAAGAATATTGCAGTTGGATTCTGTTATTTCTTGGAGTGCCGGGTGAATGCTATGATGTGCCAGGGCAGGTATTCATTGGGTAGTTGGTCTTTCACGATGCATAGAACATGTAATGGTTTAAATGCTGATTAAAAGTACTTGCACGACTGCATGTTGATTGTGTGCATGTATATGACTTGTTTTTAGTAATTGCACCCAGCATCTCTATTACAGTACTGCATGTAATGGAGAGGAACGAGTATTCAAGAAACATCATGTAATAAAGAGGGATAAGGTATTGTGCATAAGAGAGAGGGATGAGGCACTGTGTGCAAGAGAGAGGGATGAGGCACTGTGTGCAAGAGAGAGGGATGAGGCACTGTGTGCAAGAGAGAAGGATGAGGCACTGTGTGTAAGAGAGAGGGATGAGGCACTGTGTGTAATTGAGAGGGATGAGGCACTGTGTGTAAGAGAGAAGGATGAAGCACTGTGTATAAGAGAGAAGGATGAGGCACTGTGTGTAATTGAGAGAGGGATGAGGCACTGTGTGTAAGAGAGAGGGATGAGGCACTGTCTGTAATTGAGAGGGATGAGGCACTGTGTGTAATAGAGAAGGATGAGGCACTGTGTGTAAGAGAGAAGGATGAGGCACTGTGTGTAAGAGAGAAGGATGAGGCACTGTGTGTAATTGAGAGGGATGAGGCACTGTGTGTAAGAGAGAAGGATGAGGCACTGTATGTAAGAGAGAAGGATGAGGCACTGTGTGTAAGAGAGAAGGATGAGGCACTGTCTGTAATTGAGAGGGATGAAGCACTGTGTGTAAAAGAGATAAGGCATCCCATCAATTGTATAGGATGTAAGCTGTGTATTCACAGGAGCCAAGCTAACTGGTGGTCCACAACCATGGCTGGAGGGGAAGGGCAGTGGTAGAGGTAAATGTAAGGGAAGTTGGTGAGGCCAGGGTTGTAGTCTGATACCATGACAAATACAGAAGGGCCAAACAGATGAACTGTCATATTAGAAGGACACACCCACCATTTGCCATGGCATTATGCAATCCTGCCCCTACAGCTTTTCTTACAATTCACTTCTTGTGTTTGCAGGTAATGTATGGTAAGTATGGATGGATATCTCTGATATTGGATTGGTTGCGTACGTTCTGATCTATGGATCCATGATTAGACTGCTGCAGGGAGACCAGAGTAAATAGGGTAACATCAGATAGGTATTGCCCTATGCCTCATGCTGTCTGATTACCTGTAAAATCCTTGTAACTCTCTGGAGAGATCTTCGCTGCATAAAGAAGTCTGTGATTGATGGATTTCTGCAAGAATGACAACCAACACCAGTTACAGCAATGTTCATTACATGCCAGATTCACCAGAGGACGTATCATGTAGTTTACTCCTATACTGTACAAGCCTTTCTTTTCTAAAATTTACTAACTGCAGCAAGTCAGACGGAGCCTGCCTTGTTTTCTGGCTGAGGACATCCAGCATCATCTAGCCCTTTCCTCCCCAGCCTGGCTGTCCTTGGCCCACCACTTTCATCCATTGGATTCAGGCCTCTCAAACCCAGAGGCTCAGCATCACATGTGGGCGTTACCACACCCTCCTGTTTTCAGGAAGCTATATACAGTACCCTAACAGCATCTCCCCACCAGCCATGATCTGCCTACATTGCATATAGAAAAACGTAGAAACATAGTGATGATGTCACTGGGTTTAAAAACGTAGTGAAAACAGAAAGGTTTTATTTAATAATTTCATAAGGCAAGAGGATGAACCAAAGAAGACATAATATAAGAGGAATACACTTCAGCCTTCAAAATGAAAGTGTCATAATTACATATAGCTGTGGACATAACATCAGAAGTCTTGTCATCATCACAATGTTACAATGTAACTAAAGACACAACTTTTTTTTTTTTTAATAGAGTGGAGAGGGATTAGAAGACCTTTCAGGTTTTCATTCCTGTCTGTGTCCCCATTAGGGAATTTCACCCTCTGTTTAACCTATTTACTGTTAAAATGGAGGGTAAAAGTAAATTCCAGATTTTGGGTTGTCACCAGAACAGGGATAGAGTAGAAATCCTCCAGTGGTGACACTAGTTTTGGTGACAGTCAGGGATTCCTTCACTTTGGAGGGAATTCCTTTCACTTCCTGCACTGGCTATGAGACAGGAAGTGAAGGGAAATCTCCCCAATGGGACACAGATCACAAAAAACAAACAGGGAATATAACCCTCCCTTATTCTATCCAAACTGAAAAAAAGTTTTGCTTTAGTGCTTTTTCATACCACTGGCTGGAGGGCGGTAAAACCCTGCAATTGAGCCACGCTATTGCTGCCACCAACTGCTACCTCCTGTGGAGGCTGGGTGTGTACACATGCTGCTGCCACATTGGTTTCTTTGGTGACTGCAGCATGAGCTATACCCCCTGCTGCTTTCGGCAGGCATAGTCAATGTAGTCAAACCAACATATGGCTGGCTTCAAAACAGATCACATGTGCAGCACCATGGTAAACTGTATATTAACTGTTCTCCCGCCGCCGTCCTATAGCAAAAATACTGCTACAGGGCGGCAGGGCTGCGCAAAATTGCGTGTATATATACGTGATTTTGCATTTCTGGGTAGGGGGCCTCAGCTGTCGATCATCGGGTCCTGGCTGGTGATTTCCCCTGGCACCCGGTGATCGCCGAGTATCACTGACGGGGGAGAGACCTGTATGTGAACAATATAGATCTCTCCCCTGTCAGCTCCTGCAAACTGCTTTGTATGGCTCTGCTATGCAGAGCCATACAAAGCAATGTGCTGACACAGTGAAACACACATACAGCACACAGTAAAACAGCGCACAGTTAACCCTTTGATCACCCCAGATGTTAACCCCTTCCTGCCCAGTGCCATTAGTACTTTTTATTAGCTCTGATCACTGTATTAGTGTCACTGGGGATGTCAGTGGCAGTTAGTCAGTTCCCCCCCCCCCCCCAGTGTCAGAATGCCCGCTGTAGTCCCACTATAAGTCACTGATCGCTGCCATTACTAGTATATATATATATATATATATATATATATATATATATCGCCATTTGTAAACGCTATAACTTTCATGTAAACCAATTAATTTACACGTATTGGGATTTTGTTTTTGCAAAGACATGTAGCAGAATACATTTTGGCCTAAATTTATGATGAAATTTTATTTTTAATTTTTTTTACTGGACATTTTTAATAGCAAAATGTTTTTTTCTTTATAGCGCAAAAAATAAAAACTGCACAGGCGATCAAATACCACGGAAAGAAAGCTCCAATTGTGGGAAAAAAGGGACATAAATTTCATTTGGGTGCAGTGTTGCATGACCGCGCAATTGTCAGTTAAATTTACGCAGCGCTGTAATGCAAAAAATGGCCTGGCCAGGAAGCGGGGTAAATCCTCTGGAGGGCAAGGGGTTAAACAGCAGCAAAGATGGCAGGTTCCTTGGCTGCAACATATAGGAGGGCTTAGTTCTGCTTTAACTCCCCTAATAATTTATTTTCTCCCTCCCCACTTACCTGTATAGCTGGGTTGTGTGAAAAAAAAAAAAAATACATGCCTGGAGATCAGATCCAGCGATGTTCTCCTGGGATCTGCCGCTTTGCCGTAGCACACCCAGTCCTGCACCACCATCTTTTTTTTTATGTCACCAGCTGTCGCTTTTGGGCTGTGCAGCGACAATATAATGACGTGTCCAGGGGTGGACTGACAACTCATGGGGCCCCCGGGCAATAGGGGATCATGGGGCCCCTGTGTCCTCGCCCACACTCAAACCACACCCAAAAAAGCCAATGAAAGGTACCAGGGGCATCTCATGGGGCCCCCTACTGACCCCAGGCCCTCGGGCAGTGCCCGAGTGCCTGAATGGTCAGTCCGCCCCTGGACGTGGCACATCAGCATGGGGCCGTTGCACAACTTTGCAGAGACGGTCAGCCTCCCCTGAAAGGAAGGAACTGATGACTAGTCATTATGGGCAACACAACCAGTTAGACTTTCAGTCCAGAAGTCCTGTGGTTTTAGGTAAACCTATGCCATACATGTCAGGCTGCATTCAAGTTTGAGTGTTTTTGTAGCTCGAAGCTCCAAGCTCAGACTTAAACAGTCAATTGTCCTCTATGGTGCCTGTTCACACCTGATTGCGTGAACAGGCACCATAGAGAACAATTGATTTTTAAAATTCGAGCATTTTTGGAGCTTAGAGCTACAAAACGCTCAAGTGTGAATGCAGCCTAATGCAGGCCATAGATGGGTCGAAAATTGGCCGAAACAAAAAAAAAAAAAAATCGGCCGATTTTCGCACCGTTAATGGGTTAATTGGTCGGCCGTTTTTCTGGATTTTGTCAGATTTTTTTGATCGGTGAAGTTGGAAAAAAATCGGCTAATTTTGCCGATCGGCCGATTTTCGCGGCAATGATGGGCAAATCGGCCGATATTTTTACCGATAAAAAATCTGCGCATGAGCCGTGACCTGCAAGAAAAAGAAGAAGATGAAAAAGAAGTAAAAAAAGAAGAAAAAGAATAATAATAAGAAAAATAATAATAATAATAATAATAATAAGAGGAAGAAGATGAAGAAGATGAAGAGGAAGAAGAGGAAGAGGATGAAGAGGAAGAAGATGAAGAAGATGAAAAGGAAGAAGAGGAAGAGGAGGAAGAAGAGGAAGAAGAAGAAAAAGAATAATAATAAGAAGAAGATAAAGAAGAAGAAAAAAAAAGAAGCAGAAAAAGAAGAAGAAGTAAAAGAAAAAGAATAATAGGAAGAAAAAGAAGAAGAAGAAAAAGAAGAAGAAAAAGAATAATAATAAGAAGAAAAAGAATAATAATAAGAAGATAAAGAAGAAGCAGAAGAAGAAGAAGAAAAAAGAAGAAGAAAAAGAAGAAGAAAAAAAAAGATGAAGAAGAAGAAAAAGAATAAGAAGAAGAAGATGAAGAAGAAGAAAAAGAAGAAAAAGGAGAAGAAGAATTCCAGTCCGCTATTATATTTGACATGAAAAAGTATTGTGGTTGCAACAATGTATCCATTTGTATACAAATAAAAACATCTGTATCCGAAATGGATACAAATAGATACATTGTTGCAACCGCAATACGTTTTAATGTCAAATATAATAGCGGGGCTCTCTGCAGGGACAGAAGTAATTAAATGCCGGACGTAGACGGGAAGAAAATCGGCCGATTTTTTTTTTTTTTTTACCGTTGGTGGTAACGTTGGCCTATTGAACGACCGATTTTTTGTTTTTTTTGTTAAAAAAACGGCCAGTTTTCGACCCGTCTATGGCCTGCATAAGAGTGGAGAAAAATTGGCAATGACATTTCTACAGACCATATGCTGTGTCTCCAGAAGAGCTGTCAGCGCTGAGATATAGGGGAATTCCGGGGTAGATGAGCATCTCTTATGAGAAGCCATGCTGGATGCGGAGATACTCCGGGTACCCGAGGCAGTGCCTGGTCTCACCTGGGAAGCTGGAGTGGCTGTATCCTAGCAACTAAGGGAGACAGGTAAACATTCAGGAAGAGAATGGGAGGGACGGTTAGATTAACAGGAGGATATTGATGAATAAGTGACAAGGGGGGAATAAATTAAAAATGAGCATTAAAAATTAATTAATGTGCATGACATCCTGCCATAGGTTTAAGGATCATTAACAAGAGACGACTGCTCTGGTGTTCCCACCTTTAGGCCTCGTTCACATGGGGCGTACTAAAGTGGAGGGCTGTGTTTACCTGCATGTGGATGCAGGTGTTTAATATTGATATTTATCAAATACAAAAAAAAATCACCAGCGCCAAAAAATATATGGTGAAATAATTCCCAAATAAATGCTGCTGCTCCTTAGTGTCAACACTAATAAAATAACAAACAAAAACATTAAAACAGCACAAATAAACAAACACTCAAAATAATATATAGTAAATAATACAAAAATATTAAATAATCATATAAAAAGAATTTTTGTAAAACAAAATATATAATAATTAACCACTTCGAGTCCGGACACTTTTACCCCCTTCCTGCCCAGGTCAATTTTCAGCTTTCAGTGGTGTCGCACTTTGAATGATAATTGCGCGGTTATGCAACACTGTACCCATCTGAATTTTTTTAGCATTTTTTTGAGACAGATAAAACTTAATTTTGGTGGTATTTATTTACCACTGGGATTTTTTTTATTTTTTTGCTATATAAATGAAAACGTCCCAAAATTTAAAAAAAAAAAGTGTTTTTCTTATAACATTTTGCAAATAAATAATCTTTCTTCATAAATTGTGGCCAAAATGTATCCAGGTAT